GTGCTCCGTCAAGTCCGCGACAGCAGTCGCAGCCCCATCAGCAAGGACGCAGCCCTCCGAGTCTGCTCGGACCCCTCCAAGCAGTACCTCAAGTACCGGGCCGCCTAGCGCATCCTCTTGGACGCGCAGGAGAAGATGAGGAGGGAGACACGTGAAGCCCCGGTTGACTACATCGAGCGTCCGCGCCGCATGATCGACTGTCACTGCCACGTCATCGACGTGGATCTTGCTCACCTGGAGATGCAGAAGCAAGCTTGCGTCCTCATGGGCATGGACGTGCCTCCCTGGCTCCTGTCATGCTCCGAGCGGCTCTCAGATGCCAAGGAGCAGCAGGCGCAAGACATCAGCCAGGCTGTCTGCACCAGGACCTTTCTGGACGCTCATCGAGACTACATGCTCTCGAGGATGAGCCAACGAGTAGAGCCGAGAGTCCTAGAATGGTGACCGTCGGACCGAGCGACAAGGCAGCGAGACTAGGAGAGCAGCAGAGCTCTGCAGGACTTTGAGGACGAGCGGTCAGGGACAGTAGTGCCCCGAGCCTGCAAGGTTGGAAGTCATCTTTGAGCTCTTAACGTGACTGCGGGGGCGCAATACATAGAGAAACAAGTTGAATGAGGCCTGAGGGGAGGGGCCGCTGACTCTATTCAGCCATCATGGCAGCAGCGAACTGACACAGTTTGAGCCGTCTGAGCCTGAAGAGAAACTAACAAGGATCCCCCTAGTGACGGCGAGTGAAGCGGGAAGACTCAGAGGCTCAAGCAGAGACTCATGATTGTCGGAGCCACGGTTGAGCGGCGGGAGGCGCGCGGTCCGGGGATCGGCGGGGGGGCGCGCGGTCCGGGGATCGGACTTTGGCACCGTACTGTACTACGGTACCCAGTGACGGTACGGTAGCCAGTGCGGCGGAGTCCCGGGGGCGGCCTGCCCGCCGCGGCCCGGGGAGTTGCCCAGCCGGTGACCGGCGTCACAGTCACTACGCCGCCGGGCCCCGGCGGCGTACAATAGTCCCTCCTAGGCTCCAGCGGTCGCCGTTTCTTAAGTTACTATACTCAAAGTTAAGTTAATCATCAGTACGATAATGTTGATTATGCGCAGAACCATTCTCCCGCGCAATGCCAGCGATGTCCAGTGATCGCTGTGCCAGGCGGGCCGACGAGTCAGAGCGGGCGGCGGCCCGGCCCGGGAACTTGAACCGTCACTGAGTCAAGGTCCGTACCGTCTGGTCACCGTCCGCCGTCGCGGCCGGCCGGGTTCCGGGCCGGGGGGATCTTCGGAACTTAGTTCGGCGCCGGGGCCCGGGCCGTCCCGGACTCAGGGCCCGGATTCATGTTGCGGGCGCCCTCGGACACTCAAGTGACTATCAGCCTTAAACTTCAGTAAAGGATCCGAGACGGTGGTGGGTTTAGTTAGGGTTTAAGTTCAGTCCCACAAACAACTTTGAGACTCGGCTGGAAGGCAAGAGCGAGTTCCACTTGGATCTTCCTGGTACTACCCCCTACCCCCTACTTGTCCCCAGGATCGCTGCTTAGTTCTCCTTATTCTCTTGCCTATACTGGTTGATCTATCTCCTTGCGCTGAGTGCAAAAACACCCTACCTCCTTACCTTGCCTCAATCAACTACCTACCTCCCGTCTCTTCATACCCCCCACCCCTACATATCTCTCTCCCCACCCCTCTAGACCCACCATTTCTTACCTACAGATTCCCTCCTTCCTTGGTATATCCCCCAACCTGCTTCCCGCTCCAAGCAAACCCCCTGCTCGAGCTCCCTCCCTCTACATCTCCCTCCCTTCCCTATCTTCGGCTCTTCTTCAATCAAGATCTTCATAGCTCTCCTACTTGCATTTGCGATCAGAAGACTCTTCCTCCTCCATGTCTGCTCCGAGCAGCTCCGAAACTCTGGCTTGTGATGCCAATGAAACGG